AGGCATTATTTTTACTGGTTTTTCGAGGCCACTAAAAATCCCGACACAGCACCTGTAGTCCTATGGCTGACTGGCGGGCCGGGATGTAGTTCCCTGCTGGCTATGTTCACCGAAAACGGACCCTTTCGTGTTGGCACCGATGGACAGACAGTAGGAACGCGTGACTATAGTTGGAATACCGTAGCGAACGTCCTATACCTGGAATCCCCGGCCGGAACGGGATTCAGTTATGACGAGAATAATAACTATACGAATAACGATGAGACGACTTCACTGGATAACTACCTGTCCATTGAAAGTTTTTTCGTAAAATACCCGCATTTGAAGGGAAATCCGTTTTATATAACAGGAGAAAGTTATGCCGGTATTTATATACCAATGTTAGCCAAACAGATATACCGACACAACTCTACCATCAATTTGAAAGGTATATCAACAACACTTATATTTGCATATTTTTGATCCCATTCCCCTCCTATAGGTATGGCGATTGGTAACGGGGCACTGGCTAATGATAGAGACACCAACTTTGGACAGGCGGCTTATGATTTTGCATTGGGACACGGGTTGATCACTACCGAGGATTACGAAAGGAAAATTGAAAACTGTTGCGACTGTAAGGTGGGTGCTGTTCAACGCCAGTGCGACTTTACTAACCCGGATAATAAAACGTAAGTCTACTTGGGTTAAGGCACCATAGAGTAAATCATTACATTAATCTGTTATGTATTAAAGTAAATATTAATAAATAACTATTAGTTTTAATAATACTTAATTAGCTAGCTAGCAATGAAATATTAGTAACAAAAACTAGATTATAAATTAGTTATTTTTGTAACTTGTAGTATTAAATAATTAATAATTAATTATTTATAATTTATTTAACAGGAAATGTGATTCAGTAAAAATAGACTACCTGACCTCCCAGCTTCCCAACCCATACAACATCTATGATAACTGTGCGCCTGATCTCAACAATCAACAGATATTTAACGAGTATTATAGACCGATGTTTGACAAAATTGGGTTAAGGTTTGGTAATTTTAAGCTCCGAGAAAATCCACCGGAATGTAACAAATACGGACATACCGTATATTTAAATACCGGTGCCGTACGTAAGGCATTACACGTTCGTGAAGGGTTAAAACCATGGTCTGAGTGCAATGGGGCAGACCATTATAACCGGACAGGATTTGCCCCTCAATTGCAAAACGTTAAGGACTTGATACGTACATACAAAATGTCCAGGTTTATCGCATATAACGGCAACTTTGACTCATTGGCGGTGTTTATGGGCGGACAGAGGTTTGTATCGGAATTGGGATTTCAAACTACCAGTCCTTATAAGTAAGTGAAATACCGGTGCGTTATTATTATAATTATTATTAAATATATTTTTTGTTAGAAAATGGACGGTTGATGGGACTCCCGATGGGGTTATCGGGGGTTTTATACAGGAATACGAAAGGGGTTTAAGTTTTGTGGTGGTCAGAGGGGCCGGACATATGGTGCCCGAAGATAAACCCGAGGCAGGTCTACAAGTGCTTAGATATTTATTAGGATTAACACAATTTTAATAAAATATATGTTTATTAAAAAATTATAAATTATAAAACAGACATCTAATTAATAGATGAAATTTTATAATAAAATCTAAAAAATAATAACTAAAATTTAAATATCTAGTTTATATAGTAAAACTATTAAATAGATTTTAATTTAACAAATTTTGTTCAAATAGTAGTAAATCTCTACTCATATCACCAAATGTTGTGTTTAGTGTCCACACAATAGTCTCATTGAATACATAAACCGGAGGTTTCTTGTCGTCTAAACACCAGCCAATGGATGACAACTCATTACCCCTTATAAGCAAATGTATTGAATAATAACTACTGTTTCGCCAATTCTCGTCATACTCTGTGTAAAGCATATGACAGACATTAGGTCTGACACCAAACTGTCCGTCCATTCTGTGTATGAGGTGCGGCTGTTTGTTGATTATGTTGAGCACCGGAAGAATGCCTGAATTTTTATACCACGCGTTGGCATCATATTCACGATACGACTCGTAATACAATCGCAAAAATCTGGCCTTTTTATGAGCTATTATTAATATAATAAAAATCACTTTTATCACAATTGTTAATAAATTAGTAGATTAATAGTATCTATCATTTAATTAAATATTTTGAACGGTATTAAATAGTCTTCATATTTATTAAGCTTAAAATTGATATAATATATTAATTTAAATTAAATTTCCCTACCGATTAGCACTTGATTTCCCAACTCGTTTTTACTTTGAAAATCAATAGTCATTTCGTATTTGAAAAACTCATTGAAAGGTTTAATGACATAAACATCTCGATCCAAATAAATGCCTCCAAATTCCCGGAGCACTTGAATCCGAGTCACGTCCGACGCGTGCCATAAACGCCAGCCTTCGCTCAGATTTTTACCGAACACTTGGGTCGGCATCTCTATGGGTCGCACCGTTAGCCTCGTGCCTGTCCTATTGGCTATAGCCTGCACTCTATGCCAGTTATCGCCGTATAGTTCAGTGCAGTCGCAGTGGATGTATATGAGATCCGGGCGATGATTCCTGAGCAACGACACCATGGACATAAAATGAGCAAACTCAATTTCATGCACTTTAAAAAGAACAAAGTGGACAATATTGGGCACAATATCTATTGGAAAACCGGTGGTATTGTACTCAACAGTATTCTTCATAGGACATAATACATTTGATTTTGTAGTAAGAGTAGTAGCAGTTTCACCCTGGCACAATATAATTGATCGTCTCCGTGCATAAAACGGTTTTTTATTTTTCAATGCAAACTGTATACATAACATAATCATTGCATTTCTCAAAGTAATAAACAATATTAGATACTATGAATGCAATGATTATGTTATGTATACAGTTTGCATTGAAAAATAAAAAACCGTTTTATGCACGGAGACGAAAAAAATTGTTACATTCTTAGTTCTTTCTGCTGGACACAATCTTTTTGCAAAATTACTATAATCAGTTGAATAGTACATTAATTCAATGCATAGAAAACATATGAATATAACACATATAATATAAAAAACACTACTTTTCTGATATGTAGGCATTACTGAATTTATTAGTAATGAAATCAACAATTTTTAGCAAAGTTATACATAAAAATAATATCATTTGACTTCACTTATTACTTTTATATTAACCCTTTAAAACCTACCGTTACTTTTACGGATTTCACCCCGGCTATTCAATATGTACACTATAATCACGCGTATATTGTATGTTAAATTGTTTTTAAAATATTGTAGTGACTCAATCCACCAAGTTTTGTTTTTATATGGGATTCAGCCTAAGTTGGCAACCGGGATATTATGCATTATTCATATAGACCTTTTGACGAGGAGTCCGAATATCTCATCTATATTGTCCTGTGACATCGGGTTCGGTCGCAGTGACCACTTATATCGGGAATTGTTTCCGTTATAAATATGGGCATGTGATATATCAATTCAATAGAGGTTTTAATAGAGAATAAGATGGTATATGTAAAAATTAGAAAACCCTAGATTTAAAAGAAATATTGTGATTTTTTACATTTTCGTCACTAATTCGGCATTATTTGCATGATTAGTCAAGTTTAAAAGAGTTTTACATATACCATCTTATTCTCCATTAAAACCTCTATTGAATTGATATATTACATGACCATATTTATAATTCCCGATAAATTGGTCATTGCGACCGAACTCGAGGTCACAGATCAATATAAATGATATATTCGTACTCCTCATCAAAATTTCTATATGAATAAAGCATAATATCCCGGTTTCCAGCTTAGGCTGAATTAAATCTTGTTTTTTCCTACTCCTAAAACAATAACAATAAGTCAAACATCCAGCGTTACATAAATTAGCCCTAGCGACC